ATATATATATATATATATATATATATATATATATATATATAGTATATAGAGCTTTATTAAAATGAATTAGTCAGTATTCAGTTATTATTAGTTAGCATCTTTCTAGATTAAAAGTAATCTTTGGAATCTTTACTCATGACGTCATCTGCAGCCCTCAGAATTTTTAAAGTTCTCATTTCTGTCTTCTTCTGTCCCTGCTTGTCATTGTTATGAACAACCATGGTGTCCCGGTCATTGTTCATCTCGGTCACTATTCTTGGGGTAAAGCTTTTCCAGTGTCTCCAGAATTAGTAAGGGCTTTTCATAGACTCACAGAACATTCAAAAGCAGAGAACACAGAGAGACTTTATGATCCATCTAATTCTTGCCATATCCTCCTTTTTTTTCTGATGAAAAGAGTAAGAACTAAATACCTATTTCATGTCTCTTGTTTTTGGACTTGTTGATACAACATTAACAAAGATGATATACTACAAACAGTATCTCATGGGTCGCATATTTTAGTAAAACACAATTCATAGGAAGAGTTCATAAATGGATGTAAATTATTGTAAAGACATAAGAACAAGAACCCTTTTTGAATATTACATATGCAGTAATTTTAGCTGTACCCTTTTACTCTAATGCGGCGATTTCCCTAAGAACTATGGAAACAAACACCTCCCCACCCCCACCTTCATTTCAACTTCATAGCACTCCATCCCCAGGAACAAAAGCAAAATTCACTAGAGGATCCACCCTGGTACATCCAGAGCCTGTTTGAACCACTAGAGATTCAATGAAGCTTCTTGAAAGGAAATCACAGTGTTCCTGTGACTATTTAACTTTCAACATGTATCTCCTTGACCTGAGACCCCATCCTACTGTGATTAGACCAACCAAATGGAAAATCTCATTTCCTGATCTTCAAACAATTGTTTGTGCCAAACATTAAAATAACTTTAATAAAAGGAAATGTTAGCTTCTGCTATGGAGCTAATTGCAGATCAACTTCTCCTAAAGTTTGTAGACCAGCTGAATTCACCTTATCTGGTGAGGAGCAGACAGTGACTTCCAGAGCTGAAGTTTTAGAGGCATTGGTTTTTCCATGCTCAGCTGAACATAATAATGTTTCCTTCATTTTTTCTGTAGACATTTGTCATAATTAAAGAAAGTGAAAGCAGGATTTGAAAACACAGTGGTGACGAGTGGAGTAGCTAACTCTGATGGGAATAGATTGAGCCTTACATACCACCATCATGGGGCTTCAGAAGAAGAAAATATATGGTCCTCACTAATTAACGATGATGCCTGGGCAGCTTTGGCTCAAGGTGTTTTTTAAAATACTGGTAACCCACCTTTAAAGATGGCCGTCATGTATTTCTACTTCAGTAGCAAATCTGTTGAGGGAATATTTCATCTGAAAAGTAAAACTGGGGGAAGTTATTGCTACACCTACTTATATAAATAGTAGTAGAGAATTGTCTGGCTTCTCGACTCAGAGATTCATGAAGGATTTTTGGTTATTGAGGTTAAAACAAGCTGTGCCTTTTTAAAAGCACCCTGTAAAATCTTAGGAGAGGGTAGCTATTGGACAGCTGTTTCTTCAACTGAGCCATTTTAGAGACATAAAACAATGCTCACAAGTAAACATTCACTAATAAAGCTTAGTTATGCCTTGATATTCCACAAGTGCACAAATAATTCTAACTACACCTAAACAGTCCTTGCTACTAGATTTGAAAATGTACTAATGGAAAGGATACCCAAGAAGGAAGTAAAACTGTATGGTTAGGGCTCTTGGTGTCCCTTAACTTACAGAGGCTCACTCCATCACACTCTAATTTTTTATATGTAGCATTTCTTCTAGACCTCTAGAGAAGACTATATTTGAATTAGTATATGGTATTCACTGCAGTGAAAAAGCCGCCCAACTTTCAAGAAGCTAGCTTATTAAAAATCAATTACTTAGTGGAAGTTAATGACTTATTTGTGATTCATTCAAACATCAACAAGGAAATAAAGGTTTGTTGCTATTTTTGCTCTTGACATCATCAGTTAAGTATCTCTCAAGATGCTCCTTCATTTACATGAAAGTTATGTTTTTGTTTTCACATTAAAGAGGGCAAGAATTCCCATGCTACAAATATTTCCCCATCCCCAGATCCTACTCATATCGTACTATTCCCACACCAAAGAAACACCAAGTTATATTCAAGTTAGCAATAAATAATAAATAACAGTCTTCATTTTGGGGCAAGCCTTTACATTGAACTTTATACATCACTCCCTCCCTCTTTTTAATGACTTTTCACATGAAGTACTAGAGTGAACACACTATGTTGACATAACAGCTAGTCTGTCATTTGAACCCTCTTGACATCCACTCCTTCAAAGGACTGTATATGATAGGTCTTCTAGGACCACTTCCCTTTCCCTCATACACTAGCAGGTCACACTTGATAGACAAATTCAACAGGCTAGGGCCATGCACCTTGTGTAATCCCCGAATGCATCACTGTTGAGCTTTTCTCTTCTTTCTTTCCCTCTCCAGCCAATTCCCTCCTTCCTAAGCCATGGTTCCTGGAAAGGACACAGTCTACATAGATGTCCCAGAAGAGTTGGGCCAGATCCCAAAACAGTGCCCCATGCTTCAAGTTCTCAGAAGACTTCAGGTAGATCATAAAGTCCCAAAAGCCAGAGACAGTGTTAGAAACACGAGGCTTCTGCATTTCCAAGAGGAGCATTGAGGAGGACTCCCAGCACTGAGGATCAGCTTGGTTAAGAGCCAGCAGGTCTGTCTGGCTGTGACAGAACAAAGGAGACACACAGCACATTCCCATAATGAGCAGGGAGCAGACGAGACTCAGGGGGCAGTGGATCCCTCTTCTCATCCCAGGATCAGCCATGGTCCTGCAACTGTACACATGCAAACACATCAGTCCAGGCTGTTTTCTGCTCCATTAGAGAAATGGGTGTTCCCTTGAGAATCTCAGTCCCAGGAGAAGAACCACACCACCATTACTAATTAGGAAGAGATTTACCCTTCTTCCCAAGTCACAAGCCTTGTTCTCCCTAGATGATCCATTCCCAATCCAGGTTGTGCACAACCAAGACAGCTAGGCTAAGAATTCCCAAGTTGTGTTCCTTGTGAGATGGTTAAGTGAAACTGTTTACCCTGCAATGTAGCTTAAAAGAATACTACATGAAAATCAAAATTCTTCCACATGACTTTACTTTTTATATCTTAAGACTAGCCTTTTAAACACAAAACTACACTACAGTTAACAATTTTATATCTTTTGTCCTTGTAGGCTTCTGTGTTCATAGTAGCTTTTAATTTTTAAAAGGTGTTAGACTTACAAAACATTATAATACAAATAAATTCACAATCGATGCTTAACTTGTGGATAAATGTATTTTGAAACTGGAAGACAAAGTAAAACTGATAGATACTTTGCAAGTCTAGATGCTATGCAATCCTGATATGACTTTAATGAGGAAAATGCTTTGTAATTTCTCTCTGCCTGCAATGAATCTCAAGGATTTCAAGGAAAATGGTTTGTCTATCCCTCCACTTTTCTAGCTCTCAATGCCTATTGTAATAAAGTCATCTGAACAGCCACATGCCACTTCTAACTTGTTGTCACTTCAAACAAACGCAATGAGAAATTACAACCTTGAGACTATAGAAATCATAATTTCTCCCAAATTAAGTTTACCCGGGTATTCTCCAACTATACAAAATGTTGAGCAATTCATCATAAAGAAAGCAACACGCACACTACTTACTTTCATATCCCAATTAGTAACTATAACACCAGTAGTCAGACTCTTTCTTTTCTGCTCAGCAGTCGGACATATGGAGACGCTGCTAAAGAAATATTTCAGAACCTGAGTTTGAACATACCTAGTCTTGAAGGATCATGTTTGAAATAGCTGATCACTCAAAAAATAGTTTTATATAATTTGCAGATTAACTTTACTTGATAAGATTGTATTTACTGAACTGGAATATCAAAGTCGCACCTAAAGGTTTTGTTTGTTTAAGTGTTGCAGCTTTGGTAGCCTCCAGGTGAAGTTTTTGGAAGAGGGGATGCTGTCCGGTGTGCTGAAGTTAGCATGTTCTGGGACTCCGGGGGCTTGAGCTCATCTAGCTGTTAAAGACCCTTTAGGAGTTTCAGAGAGGTGGGTTCCCTAATTCAGGAGTCCACTTGTGCAGCCGGTTGAGAGCCCCAGTGCTGGCGAGTTTGGGTCAGGCACCTGCTCTCACAGCTTCATCTTCCCAGGCAAAGCCTCGGGGTCAGGGACTCCGCCCCCACTCACCTCCTTGTTCCGCGCCTCTGCTGTGGGTCTGTAGGGCGCCGCACTGCGCTCACCTGCACTGTCCGCGATCCCTCGAGTGCGCGGAGAGGACGCAGTCAGGCTGCTCCCTAGCAGGTGACTGTCCTCAGCTTCCGCGTCCTGGATGCCAGCGTGCCTCTTCTTAAGCAGTGGGAGTGTTCGGCTACGTCAAAGGACCTGCAAACTGCCACTGCCTCTCGCCCCCAAGTCCCGGTTCCAGAACTCGCCTTCCTCCTCCCCCCCCGCAGAGGTTTGGAGTTCGAACCTGGGGGCTGGCTGCAGGCCCCCTCCCTAACCCGAGCCTACACCCACCATTTTTGTGTCCCGGCTTCCAGGACCCACCTACCTGGAAAGTCACAGTGCTGCAAAATTGGGGCTCAGCTTGCCGCCTATCTGGGAGATAGTGGAGGCCCCAACCTGGCTTCTCACTAGTGCCTCGGTGAGGGAAGAACTGCATGAGATCTTGGGATCCGGAGAAGAAACAAGCACAAATTCCAGCCAAATTGTGGATTTCTCCTACCCACTGAGGTTCTGGAGTGGATGGATTGGAGGAGAAGTATGGGGGGCTATGAACTTCTCTTCCTTGATCCAAGCTAGAGAGTCCTTGCTGTTTTTTAGCCTGGACTGCTGGGGGCATCCTTATTTTTCCCCTCTAATTTCTCCCCAGAATCCCCGCTCTCCAAAAAGAAGCAGCAGATTAGATGGATTTCCTTCTGCTTTAATCAAGACCTTAATCCCAAAACTAAGTCCATCACTTCTCAAGGGCTTTGCTGGGCGTTGGCACCCACTTTAACAGAAATATTCCCAGTTAAGGGCTCTCAGATGGAGGGCCCTCCTTCCCACATCTTTCCTAAAAGTCCTCTGGCATCCTAAAACACTCTTGTACTCTCTATTACCTGAAGGCTTTTGTGCCAACTTGATAGTATCCATGGTTACCTGGGGGGCTTACGGTGAGGTTTATTGAAGCCTCAGAAAACCAGCCTCCTCCGGAGGTAAAATTAGGAAGAGCTCTGAAGAAGTTCAAAGGGGCTCTCAGTTTTTCCTTCTCTCAATTGGACCGAGTGTGCTTCAGTTTCCGTCTTTAAATTGGGCAGATAATGCCTGCTTCTGTTTGCCTCCAAGCGAGTGTGGGGACAAGACCGTGGTCTTGCTTTCTGGATTTCAAGGAGCCCACTCACTTTTAGATAGCCTTACCAGAAAAGTGAGCATTTTAGTGCAGCCTGTGAACAGACATTGAGAGACCCTATGGAACCTAGCAAAGGGATCAGACTCCTGCTATTTTTATTGTACTAGGCACAAGATGTTTTGGTGGGCTGGATAGGAAAACAAGTAAAAGACAGAGGTTAAAGATAACACCAAGTTGGGGACTGACTAATTGAGGTTTGGAATTACCATTGGCTTAGAGGAAACATTTTGAAGAACAGGTTTGGGAAAGCATGGGGTTGGGTCTTGCACACCATTAAGGGTGAGTTGAGTGACATCCAATGTTGATAGGCAGAAATGGAGCAGCTACAGGAAAACATGTGAGATGGCTAAGAAGCCTGGATTACGGATTTCATCAAATGGGGGCAATTGTTTAAACCATCAAAAATTATGGAAAGAAGATGAACAGTAGTAGCCTGAGGGAAAAAAATCTTGGGTTAAAGTAACTGAGGAACAAAGAGCTTAGAAAAATTAGGGCTGTGTGTGAAATACTTGGGAGCTGATAAAAGAGGTTTTCACCAAGTAGGAAGAAGCCAGTTGAATCACATGGATTCAGTAAAGGATGCCAAAAAATGAAGGGAAAGAAGTTTCCACTGCATCTAAGAAAATAGAAAGTCACTGATGAGAATATTAAAAGCAATTTCATCTCAGGGTCAGTGGAGCTTCGGTAGGCAGAGACAAGAATGGAAAGTTAGGAAATGATGATAGCACCTGAGCCTTTCCCTATAGAATTTTCACACACACACACACACACACACACACACACGAGAGAGAGAGAGAGAGAGAGAGAGAGAGAGAGAGAGAGAGAGAGAGAGAGAGAGAGAGAGAGAGAGAGAGAGAGAGATTAGGGGTTGGATCTTGATCATATTCATAGCTGGTGTAGAGAACCCAATAGAGAAGCAGGGTTGAGCATCAGGAAAGGGTGATTTTAAATGTCAAAAGCAGAAGAGTAAGAGAAAAAAAAGGAGCCCACACCTACAAGAAAGGCAAACAGCTTGCCTTCTGAAACAAATGGAGAAAGAGTACCTTATGGACATGGGAGTCATGGCTTAATATAGAGGGCAGGGGAGAAGCAGCTGAGGGAGATGATAACCGACTGTCTCAATTTTCTTACTGAAGGTCAAAGTAAAGAAGGCAAATGTTAGATAAAGAGTTCAGATAGAGTAGAAGAGCTTTGCAGGAGTCATTGTAGGCAAGAACAGGAAGAAAGACTGGGAAAGAAGACAGAGATTAAGAATCAAAAGTAAAGACTCAGCTAATGCATTGAGACCATGAATTTATAGTGTGCTATGTCATATGCCTGAATAGTTTTTATGAGGCAGGTTAACATAATTATGGCAATTATTCTCTGCATCCCAATTTCCTGGGTTTGATCTGTGTGTCTTTTGCTTGTCATAGCTCACTGATTCTCAGAAAAACTTTTCTGTACATGCCTGAGATCAGAATGTATCTGTCAACTGACAGCACTCTGGCAATTAGATTTGCAACTTTTTTAACTTTAGAAAATAACAAGGTGTCTATAATTGATGGTATCTTTGAACTGATGCCATACTGTAAGAGATGTGATTAATCCCTATGATGAGACCATCCTCTTGCTTACAAAATGAACAAAAATCTCCTTCATGGTTTCATGAGCATGGAATGAAATCACAGACAAAACAAGTGGGAAGATGTTACATGTGGTAAAAATTGTGACAAATATCAGGGTCTATCTGGTTCTCCTGAGGTGTTCGACTGACTGGAACAAAATAGAATGGCCATTATGACATGAAGTAGGTCTTAAAATTCAGGAGGTAAGACAATGAGGAGTAATAAAGATACAAGGGACTCGGGTGCCAACAAGTTAGAAACAAAGAAGCATGGTAAAGAGAAAAGACTGAGGAAATGAAGACATCTGGGGGTTTCACTGACATGAGACAAGAGAAGAAAAGATGTTGACAATCCGGCATAGAGAGGTTAGAGACTCCATTTGTAGAGACAGAGTGACAATTCTGGCTTCACTGAAACAAAGGCCTAGGAAGGAGTGAAGGTAAAGGCTGCTATTGTGTTCCACTTTCGTGTAAGTGTGGAGATAGATGAATGGCCATCTCTGCTTCAGATACTGAGGTTATGAGACATTGCTCTCCCATCTCCGTGGCCCTCAGCAGCTCTTCCCAATGAAGTAAACGAGTCTCCAAAAGTAAAAATTTTAAGACCGAGTGGTGGCTGCTCAGATACTTTCTTTGCTTTTCAACATTATTACTGGACACTGGAAACTTTGAGTTTCAGTAAAACTTTTATACTTCTGCTCTAAAAGAGAATTCCTAATTAAACACTTCTCATAAATATAACTAAACGATTTGTATTTTAAAAATTAAGCAATCATTTGAATGTTTTTGTTTAGACAAAGATCCTATCTACCACATACTCTATTTTGGTAAATATATTTTGTGTTTGTGGTTGTCTTTGTTTGTTTTTTGAGACAGGGTTTCTCTGTGTTTGTAACCCTGGATGTCCTGGAACTCACTCTGTAGACCAGGTTGGCCTCCAACTCAGAGATCTGCCTACCTCTGACTCCCAAGTGCTGGAATTAAAGGTGTATGGTATGCCACCACCATCAAGCTTATAATACAGTTTATATTTCTCAAGTTATCAGGAAAATTTGGAGTGATTTTTTTGGATGGGAAAAATGTATGACTTTTTTTTAAATGTATGACTTTTTAATCCCAAATGTGACTGTCATCATCATAAGTACAAGATGAAAATGGCATCCCAACTTATGTAGCTAGATTAGGGGAAACTGCCATCAAACCATGTGTGTAAAAACTTTATCTTCTATTAAACACATGGGTTGTCATCTTCATAATGTCTTACCCTACTAGAATTTCTCTGCTCACATGTGGTTGGCACTTAACCAACTACAAAATATCATTTTCTCTAAGTGGCCCCATGTAATCCTAGGGAGAACATAATTTTGATCTTCCTTCTTACCTGTTTTATTATGTTACAGTTTCTCTAGGGTTATTTAACTGGTATGTGTCAGGCTATGGTTCTGTCTCCACCTAACTTTGTTCACTGTAGTTTATTTGTCCTAACTAAGTGGTGTGCACATACAGGCTTATCACTCACTCACTCTTCCTCTTGCTGTCTTTATCCTCATTTCCATGTTTGTTCCCCAATACCTGCAAGGGAGCACAAAGTGGGTCGATAGACAGAGAAACATACATCCGAGCTCAGTTCACCACAGCACCATTCTGGATTGTGGGGATAGAGAGATGGGTCCTCAGCTAAAAACACTGGCTACTCTTCCAGAGGACTTAGGGGTTTAATTCCCAGCACCCACATGGATCTCACAGTCTGTAACTGCAGTTCCATAGAGCTCCGATGTCTTCTTCTGGCTTCCATGTATCCATGCAACTTATACAGAAGATATACATACAGGCAAAATACTCTTATGCATAAGTTTTTAAGAAAGAAATACGGAAGAAATGGAAGGTCATTTGAAATAATTTGCACTTAGGTGAATGACTGGTTTGTCTAGTTCTCATCACCCAGGGTTGCTTGAGTTTTATGAAGTTGCAGCATACAGCAGAAGAATGACTAGTTGAGAAGCAAATTGCAATTAGCTGAATGTGCCCCATGGGTAGATTTTCTGATTTTTGCCACTTGAAGCAATTTTCAAAGGCATTAAAAGGGACTTCCGATTAATTGTAATGAAATTCAAGAGCAGTTATGTGGACAGTTTGCATCTTCAGCAGTGCATTAAATTTGCAAACGATGGGGCAGCTTCTGAGAATGGGATGCTTCTTTAACACTTGGGATCAGATAGCAAAAAAAAAATTATTTCTCTCTCATTATTTTGTGCTTCTCCATCATTTGGAAATGGTAATAAACAGGAACAATTTCCTGGAAGGCCCATTGGGTTAAGTGGGTGAGTCACTCCTTCTTAAGTGTCATCCAATTCACAAGGACAAGTTGTAGGGCGGTAGTCAGATGATACTGGACATCAATTCCAAAAGGTGTGAAAGGGAGAGATTACCCAGGGGTACAGGAATAGTTCATTCTTGGCTTCCTAACCAACCAGGTAAAGATGCCTCAATGGCTAACGAGAGCTGTGATGCCACAACTGTGGCAATAGGTGTTGTAGTGGTTTTCTCTTATATGTACTTCAATGAGAACTTAGATTTTTGTCCATTCTTTCCAGAAGCTCATAGGGACACTGGAAGCTCTGTCCAATCTTGATTTTTATCTATTACAATGAGTTCAGCAATTCAAGAGTAGTTAGTACAGGTATTGACTCTTGAATTGGCCCTGTCTCTTGGCCTCCTCGTTTACAAAGGAGACCATAACTTAAGTGAGTTCATTGTTTAGATAGAGTCTCACTGTAGAGCTCTGGATGGCCCAGAACTCTTCATGTACAAGCTGCTGGCCTTGAACTCACAGAGATAAACTTGTCTCTGCCTCCTGAGTGCTATGATTAAAGGTATGCACCTTTACACCTATCCCTTAAGGGAGTTTTGTTTTATTTTTTAATTTTGCTTTACATAACAAGGCAACGTGACAAGAGACTAAGGTTTCATCAACCATAAGATTCTTTTTCTAAAGGATAATTTAATAAAACATAATATAAAACCTCTACCTACACCTACCTACATGTAGGACTCATAGCCTCAAAAATAGTCAGGAGCCAAGAATAAGCATAGATTTCTGTGCTGAAGAAACACATGTGAATGAACCAATGAGGACACATCTGTGTGAATCTGTAGGAAACATCTTACAGCCTGAGCAGGACTCCCAGACTGAGAACCTCTTCCTAAACGCCTATGTGTCTAAGGAATTTAGTTCTACACTGCTCAAGATTCTATGCAGTTTTAGTCCTGCTTCTTCTACCTACACAAGTATGTCTGCCTCCCTCCCCGACCTTCCCATTCCTTCCAGAACGTGAATGTCTTTGAGTGGGGATTGTGTCAATTTGCTGTCAGTCTTGGTGCCAAACACCCAAATAATAATGCTATACGTGTCTGAGTACACATATGCTCGTGAGTATACACGTGTTTGTGTGTGTGCATATGTGTGTGCGTGGAGGGGGTATTACTGAATGTGAGTGTGTATGTGTTTCTTCATGTACACACACATATGGAGTCCATGTCCAATATTTCCCTTAATCACTCTCCACCTTATTTTTTGAGGCACACTCTCTCATTGATCCCAGAGCTCACTGATTCAGCTAGACTGGCTTTCTAAAAAGCTTGGGGAACCAACTGTCTCTGCCTCCCCAGCACTGAGATTATAGATAGGCAGCTCCATGCCAGCTCTTTGTGTGGATTCTGGGTTAAAACCCAAGTCTTCATGCTTGCATGGTAAGCAGGTTATAAACTGAGTCATCTTCTTGGCACAGATGATAATTTTTTAAAGATGCTGATTGAATTCAGTTATGCATGTAGCAAAACACTGAAACTGAGCCAGAAATTGTGAGAGTAGTTGGTCAACTTTGGTGAATTTTCTTTCATATGTCATGACAAAAGAATCAAAGTGCCAGTCACTTTTATTTTGTTTCTTTCTTCATTCAGTACTCAAGTTTTAATTATACTTTTTCTGAATAGGGATATTGCTTTGGTGTGGTTGCAGGCACATCTTCAGAAATGTAGTGGAATTGAAATACATTAATGCTAAAAGTAGATGGCAGGTATGAACACACAAAATTATTTTTCCCCATGATAAAAATATTTTATATCCAATAGAAAGATCTTAAAGTTAAGTCACTGAAACACAAGAAACATTCTACATCTAGTTTAGGATAATTTTTGTAATGCCTTAAATCACAGACAATCTGAATACCATGCCCAAAGAGAAAGAGTTTGTTTTCTTACTAAGCCCAGAAGTATGTGACTGAGGCTGTTAGTCCAGTGGCCCAAGGATGCCGGGCTCTGCATTTCTCTGACTCTCTTGATTTTCCTATCCCATTTAAAGACAGAAAGTAAAAGTATTTTCACAACTTCACCAATGGACTTAGGCTTCTAATCTGTGTGGTGCATCTATATCACATGGTCGTTTATAAACATAAGCATATCAGGAGGGAAAGAGCTCCAAACTGGCAAGAGTAAAGTATGTTGTTTAAGAACTCGGGAATGGTTGTTTTCAGTCCACAAGGTTAACCCCACAAGGCAACATGAGCTAAATGGAAACTATGTAACCAACAAGCTCAAGTTTAAGTTTAAGTTAGGACAATCTTTTTGTTACTTATCCAGTTTGTAGATAACCATTTCCTTGATCCTAAAGGTGGTACTTTTCTTATTTTTGAAATCCTCCTGCCTTGGTACAAGATTCCAGGCACAGACCATCATTTAAATTTCAAAATAAATTTCAAAAATAAATAAATGAAAAGGAGGAGGAATAGAAAGGCAATACCAGAAGGTTTCTTAGATCATGATCTTTATCTCCCATGTAAAACAGATGATAGAAAAATTCACTCATTGAAAATAGAATTTCATTATTTAGGACAGCCTCCATTAGAACATATAGCATCTAACTGGTGTTAATAAAACAGGGGTGGGAACAGAAATGTATCACACCGTGCCCCATGCCTCCACCCCTCTTGGGATTACAGCAGTCACTATTCATTCCTTGTAGTCATCTAAGCCATGGCTACTTCTCTGCAATGTGTAGGACAGTGAGCAAGGTGGTCCATTCACATGCCTTTGTAAGTAAGAGCCTATTGACAAGACTCAATACTCACTCACTGCTTCCAAATGTGTCCTCTGCTGAGTGTCAACAAAGGGCACCAAGTTAAGGCTTAAATCACTGATGAATCCACAAGCTAGTAGAGAACTCAGCTTAAAAAAAAAAAAGCAAACAACAAGGCCACAAAATGGAGTGACACATAACCATACCAAAGTAATTTATTTGTTCAATATTTTGTCTGCATTCGAAGAGAGACAGTGGTATTCACCATCACAGACATAAGAGGATGAATCAGTAGTCAAGAGAGGCAAAGTCTTTGTTCTTGTGGAGGAAACTACCATTACTTAAGTAAACAAGCAATAAGAACATGTAAAGGGGGAAAAAAAGAAACAAAGGCAGTAAAATCATGGCTAGCATTACCATGGAGATCAAGGAGGAAAATATAGCTGGGAAAGCAAAACCAACTTCAGTCCTTCCAACTTTTTTAGATCTTCAAGCTTTGAAACTACATCAAGATTCAGTTGAACACAATCACAGCCCCTTGTTCTTGTCAAATTGACTTCGTCAGCCAGATGTCAAGTGTCATTAGACATACAAATCTGAAAGCATAGAAATGTGCCCAGTGTGTGTGGCAGACACAGGCCTCTTTACTGTCTGCCTCTCTGCAGCCTAACCCAAGTCCTTTACTCCCCTCATCCCCCCCCCTACACACAAACATTCATGAAAAACTCAGTCACATATCAGGTGATCTACTGAACCTGAAAGCCAGAAGCTCCCAAGAAAAAGTCCATTTCTCCTTTTGGGCTCCTGCTCCTGATATATCTGCCCTTCACATCTCTCTTAGTTTCTCTATGCTGACAGAAGCAACCTAAGAAGGAGAGGGTTTATTTTGGCTTAAAATTCAGGGTTCCACTTTCTCACAATGGCAGGACCTTGAGGGAGCTGGTCACAATTCATCCATGATTAAGAGCCCCCAACAGTAAACACATGGTAGTGAGCGGCTTGCCTTATCCATATTACACAGGCCAGGACTCCCTGCTCAGGGAGCGTGGGACTACTACCTACAATGAACATGGGACTTTCCATGTCAAATAACCCCCTATAGGCATGCCAAAAGGCCCATTTCTTGTGTGACTCTAGATTCTGTTAAGTTGACAATTAACACTGTCACAATAACCTAAATCAAATTACTTACTCAAATTTATATATAAGAATTATATGATAATAAATAATATGTTATTTGTAAAATACGAGTTCCTCCGGCCCATGCAGAGGTCTCATACTCAAACTAGCAGTCATAACTGGCTTAACATAGCTTCATTCACCCATGGTTTTGATTAAACAGCAATGCAAAAGGCTTCTAGTCAGAGTTACATCAGCTGAGATGACAATTAAATGCAAATGAAAATTTACTATTTCCTACATCTGAGGTTTGGGGTTTTTTTGTTGTGTTGTGTTTCATTTTGTTTTTAGTTACAAACCTGATCTAACATTTCAATAAAAGAAATCAACTTCCGGCCAGGTGTTGGTGGCACACACCTTTAATCCTAGCACTCGGGAGACAGAGGCAGGCGATCTCTGTGAGTTCGAAGCCAGCCTGGTCTCCAGAGAGAGTGCCAGGATAGGCTCCAAAGCTACACAGAGAAACCCTGTCTCGAAAAACCAAACAAACAAACAAAAAAAAGAAATCAATTTCCTCTGTGAAGAATAGTTTTCTTGCCAGCAGGAAAATAATGGGTTTATAATGTTTCTTGTGTTTCTGGTTTGATATCTGGTCCTCATTAGCCAGCTACCATAAGTGAAGAGTGTAGAATGTTCCACTCTTTTATAGATCATGGAGTTGATCTATTTCAGGATCAGAAAGATGCCAGACAAGCACTCAGTAATGCACATTTGTGTTAGATATTTCATCAAATGTCCATCAGGTTTAGAAAAGATAATGGTTGGGAAATAATATAGAATTTCTTCCTTAATTTTCCCAATTGAAATGATATTATACCTAAAACTGTAAGAGAGCCAATCAGAAGAGCAGAAATAAAGTTAAAGCCAGGCCCATCTGATATCAGACCCAAGCCCACTTGGCCTGGCTACCTTAAATTTTCATCAACTTGTTTATTTTATTTATTTGTTTGTTTACCCATCTGTTATGATAGATCTTTCCACCACCCGCTTGAGTTCTGCCTGCCACATAGATGGCCAAAATAATATACAAAGACTTATATTAGATACAAATGCTGCTTGGCCAATGACTAGGATTTCTCATCTGCTAGCTCAGTCTTAATTAATTATCATAAATCTTTTTATTTTATAAGACTTATCTTATTGGACGCCTTCTTCTGGCGTCCTCATCCCTGGGATCACATGGTGGCTCTGGAGGAAGAGAGAAGGGCCCACTTCCTTCCTGCCCTTGTTTATATATGAGTCTCCTTGCTCTGTCACTTCCTGCCTGGATCACCACTTCTTTACTACATTTCCCAGAATCCTCCTTGACTCCTAGTCCTGCCTAACTTGCTGCCTCACTGGCCAAACAGTACTTTATTCAACAATCAAATATATGAACATACAAAGAAGTACATTCCCCATCATCCATCCATTTATTCATTTAAGACAGGGTCTTGTGTAACTCAGACCCTGAACTCAGCTCTATAGCAGCAGATAATTTTGAAGTTCTGATCCTCCTGCCTCTGCTTCCTGAAGGCTGGGATTAAAGGTGTGGACCACACTAAATTTTATGTAGTGATTAGGGTGGTCCCCAGGTTTCAAGCATGCTAAACAAACACTGTCAGCCTTGAACACTTTTTTAAAATCACATTTCCAAGTCTGACTTACTGGTTCAAACACTGCACAGAACTTTCCAGATTTTACAATTTTCCAGACTATACTTTTCTCTGATTCTAAAATGATGCCAGGACAAGGAGTAGACCGTCTAATGCTCTCTCCAGACAGCAGCCTCCCACACACTTAATAGTGAAGGGCTAGTGGAAGGCATGATTTCCAAGGCAGAAAGAGCCATGGAGGGTTGCAATTGTTCTACCAGGGATGGTTCCAGGCTTCCTTCTTTCTGTGGTGGGAGAGGGGTACCTTCCTTTCAAAAGCAAAACCTCATTAATATTTTTAGCTGCCAGTCACTTTTTGTGCAAGGAGTTTGATTCGAGATGCTGTCAGGGTTTGAATGTGAAGTGTTTCACACAGTCTCATGAGGGGAAATACTCAGTTCCCAGTTGGTGATGCTGTTTTGGAAGATTGGGGAAGCTTTTGTAAGTGATACATCGTCTCAAGAAGTAAGTAAACTGGAGGGTGGGTATTGAGGTTAAGTAGCCTAGCCCTACTTCCTGCCCAAACTCCCCATTCTGGCTGAGGAAGGAATATGACTGGCTACCTCTCATTCCTGTTATCATGCCTACCCTACCATGCTGGACTGCAACCCTTCTTCAGTTGTGAACTAAATTGAATCCTCCCACCTTTAAGTTGCTTTTTTTTATTGGGTAGTTGATTACAGCATTGAGAAAATAAGTAATGTGGACAATGATCATGTTTTATGAAGTAAATTAAATGTATTTGTTTCTTTTAAATGAAAAGCTTATATAAAATGCATATATATATATACATATATATTTGTTAGGATGTGTGTGTGTGTGTGTGTGTGTGTGTGTGTGTGTGTGTGTGTGTGTGTGTGTTAGTGTGTAAATGCCTTAGTTACAGAGCTACCTACCTAAAACTGGCAGAAAAGCAGAGCAAGCCAAAGCAGCAGGGGAAAGAAAGGGGCTTTTCCACATTTGTTCCCGACACTTTTTTGTTTGCTTGTTTCACTGAATTTTTTACAAATGTTTTTTATTTGACTTAGAAACAAGATTGTTTTATATGTCAACCCCACTTCGCTCTCCCTCCCCTCATCTCCTACCACCCCCCAACAAAAACCCTACCTATCACATATCCTTTCTGCTCCCCAGGGAGGATAAGGCATTCCATGGGGGTCATCAGATTCTATCATCTCTTTTGGTTAGAGCATAGGGCCGCCCCCATGTGCTTTGTTCAGGGAGTATATGTCTGTGTGGAATGGGCTCCCAAAGTACACACCTATGCTAGGGATAAGTAGTTAACTACTACAGGAGGTCCCATAGATTTTTGA